GGTCTAAGGCTTTAGGGTTTTGGGGGGTGGGAAGGCGATATCCTATTAGGTCCCTTCTAGCAAGGAGGGGAATTCATCAGGGGCCTTCTTTCTCCTTTGGTTTGGCCGGAACAGACTTTCTTGTGGACCTTAGCCTCCTTGCGACTCCGCCTTTGGCGGAGCTGTAAAAGTTGTGATGGATTCCACAAGGGCTGGACTGTTGTGAAGGTGTAGGAAATTCGGACTAAAGCTTAGAGTTTAAGGCTCCTGCGGAATACGCGCTCCAAAGACACAACCGAAACTACCCGACAAAACAAGGTCCGACAGCGTAAAATGTTGACATGACTGCTGCAACGCAAAACCCTACAACAACATAACCTACGCAAGAAACACTGTTTACTGTTCAACGAATATCCCGCAATATGTGCGGTTTACCAAAGACCTCTACACAAGCTACCACCATCAGACACCTACTTCCTCTTGACCAGACCTAAACCCTAAAACCAAAACCCTATAATTACGCCTGAAGCCTGAAACCGAAACCCTGAAACCTTCTATAGCCCTAAACCTTACAGACGGACGTTCCTAGGCACCTTCACAGCGCCGCCTCTGGGTGGCTGCGCTGCACCTTGCAGCGAACAGGACAAGAAAAAGCCGAGATCATGATGAAATATAGGGGTCGAACTAAATAGACCAGGGTTTTGGGGGGATATCATACTACAATCATAATAAGGAACCCCCAGAATAGTATTGGTAATTACTTAGGCCCCTATATTACCGAGTACTACCTACTCAGATACCTGGTACGAGTTGAGGGCTTAGGTTTGGTGCTCTTCTTCCAGCAGAAACGGAAACAGGTCAGAGTTGTTGGTGATTCCTCATCGTTTCCAGGAGGCTTCAAGCCGAGGCTCTGGCTGTTGGCTTGCGGCTTAGCGCTCAGCGTTCTGAGATGGTTGCTTGGAGTCTCTGTTAAGTTTGGGTCGGAAAGGTTCTCGGAAGGTCATCGTCATGTGCAAGTGCATGCGCACAGACACGAATGCATCAGACCGAAGCGACGCGGGTCGAGTGTCGATTTGAAGGCGCCACCTGACACTCTTTGCCCCAAAGCAACACGAGGGAGTGGACAGTACGGAGGCCGAGGACACCGCATCGCTTACTCTAAACCCAACAAATCTTCGAACCCCAAAGTCCTGCAAAACATGTCTTGTGCGCGAAAGCCTGTGCGCCTGCACGACTTTGAACTGCAATAGCCCAGACACAAACGTGTCACCCCCAAACTCTGAACCTCCAACTGCATGAGCCCCTGCTATCGCAGGCTATGACCGCTAACCTTCAGGGTAGAACTCTCATTGACTGATTCTAGCCTCAACCCGAATCCGACGGATGGCACCCGAGTTAGAGAAGGAGAACACCAAACAAAGCCGGGAGAGGCCACTCCTCGGGAAATTCCATTTCTGAACCCAAAACCCTATAGATCCGAAGCCCCCGGCGGCGCTAGGGCCGGTTGGCTCTCATCTCCTGCAAGGGCTTTGGGTCTTCAGGGCAAGGGCAGAGGGGGCCTGGGCAAAAGGGGCCCGAACAGGAAAACTTGGGTTTGGGGGTCTCGGCTTCTATGCTGAGCCGCAGCAAACAATATTACGAATGATTCGGTGAAGGCAACAAGACCAGTCCGAGAAAAGCGCGAAAAGGCGTGCACATAGATGGACACATGATGCCGCGACTGTGCACCAGGAGGAATATCTGGCTTCAGGGTTGATTGAAAGCTTGCGAGTTAACCCCTTTACATTCGGCTGTGGGGCTTAGCGCCGGTACTCCACCCACCGCCCAAAGAATCAGACCTTTGAGGCTGAGCTTCCACAGTAAGGCTCGCCTCTACGCTCAGGTTTTGTGCTTTGTGCGTTGAGGTCAGAAGGGCCTTGGCTTGTTGCCGCCTTTTCGCCCGCTTCGTTGCGAGGTCCGGGACCAAGCAGGAGGCTTTCAGCTCAGTGTGTGTGTGTGTGCCAGAAGGGTTCGGGGCTTCGTTGGGGTTAGGGACGAAGGCTTCGGCCAAGTCAACTCTCGGGTGCAAACTGTGCGACAAATAGAAGCATGCAAGAGAAACAATGTGCTATTCGACGAGTTGTTCCCTTGAAGCTCTCTGACCTGCACGCTCGCAAAAGTTTGGGTTCCAGATAGCGTGTTGACACAAAGGTAATCGTAATCTGCAGGGTACCAAGCTTAGAGCCCTAGGGTCTTGCCAAGTCGTGCAACTTTCTTCGGCCTTGCGGTTTCCTTCTTTGAGGTTTAGGATTTGCGGCTTAGGGCTTCAACGTGCGCAGGGAATAGGTTCGTCCCTAGCTAGACCCTACGCACCAACCGCCTCGACGATGAGGTCCAGGGTCGTTTGGATCTCCAGCATTCTTTGGTCCATCACCTCCCCATGCTGTCTTCCCTCTTTCTTCCGAAGGTGTTGGGCGGGTTCCAGTCTTCGTCCATGGGGCGGAGATTGCTCTGAGTCGATATAGGGGGGTCAACTCTTCTCCAGACTCCTGCCTTGAAACCTACACCACGAACCCCGAGCTTCACACTTCACAGAGAAAGTGCCGATGGAACAGACAACAGGCTTGTCCATGAAGGGCTTCAGAGTTTACGTCTGCTTTGAAGGAAGGAGCCCTGCACTTGAAACCTCCGCACCTTGCAACCCAAAAGCTCCTAACCGTAAGCCCCTTTATAATGCAAAGAGAAGCAGCAAAAAAGCGGCCTCCACTTTCCCTCTCAGCCGCTGAATCTCCCCGTTCGATTCCTTTTGGGTGAAGGTTTATCAGTGGCTTTTTCTGTAGCTTTGGGGGGGCTCCCGGACTCCGCTTTTGAAGTTGTAGGCTATAAATCCTGCACTGCACCTGTGCCAGTCCTACCTGGTGCCACTGCTCCCATGCGGACTTCCTCAGACGGGTGGCCTTTGGACTTCCTGGGGTCCTAAACCACATGAAGACAGCCCTACACCCTTGAACCCCTGAAGCCCGAAATTGCCTGAAAGCCCGAAACCCGAGTGTATGGGTTACGGGTTCAGATTTCGGGTCTGGGGTGAAGCTTTAAGACTTGCGGGTCTTAAAACTCCATAGCCCTAAGCTGCATGCCCTCACGTCCCAAACCGACACCGGCGTCCTGAGACACCGAGTTCGTCCGAGTCTGCGCAAGCGGGCCATGCTTAGATTTGACATGAGTTAGCGAATGTTGAGGCTTAGGGTGTAAAGTTTAAAGGGTAGGGTTTCGGGGAGTCAGGATTGCAGGCGTCAGGTTTGGTTGGGAAATAGGGGTTTGGGTACTGTTGCAAGAGTTTCCAGCTCACTGCATTTTCAATACTGCTCGTATTCCGATTAGCAAACATACTAAAGCATACACCTCTAACTATCCTTTTCACAAGCGCAAGGAAATGGCTCGATCCTCGATGTACTCTTGCATCCTGAAGTAAGGGAGTGGTGACGTGGCGGTGTTGGGCTTCCATCTCGAGGGTTTTTGGTTTAGAAGCCTTGCTAAAACTGAAAGCCCTGGCTACCTACGAGCAGGGCTTTTGAAGAGTCTTCTTCTGTTCGGATCTGCGACTTCCGAAATACACAACTCACATTTTTCGTGAGTCTTCCTCGTGCCTCCTGCACCACAACCCTCCGGCTATCAGTCTGCGAAGTCCTCGAAAAACTCTTTTCAGCCCCCGCCGCCCACCCAAACTACACCGAACAAGCAATGAGCTCAAACCCGGAGGCTTCCCGCGGACCAACTGACCAACGCCTCGAACCGCATGTGAGCAAGAGATTCTCCAGAACTCGGAAGCTCAAACGTACCCAAGACTCGCATAAACGCATGCAAAAGCTGGCAAAGCCAACAACGGGGCCCGAATATAGGGGCCCTTGAAGGACTATCTAAGGAGCTGGTGTCACGAATCCTTCAGACCCCTCCATTAGCACTCGGCCTGAACCGGGCTGGGCGGCACCTAAGCAGCAATGAACGCCAGTCAGGCACAGGTCTCGGGTCTAGGGCAGAGGGTTCAAAGATTGCGGCTACGTGCCTGCCAGAATTCACCACACACTCCGGAGTCTCTGGGTGATGGGGTGAGTCCAGGAGTCCAGGGTGCTGGGGTGCCGGGGTTTGCGCCTTTTTTGGCTCAAGGTCTTGGGGCTGTCATAGCTTACAAGTCTGTCGCATTCTACATTTTGGGTCTACAGATTTACCGTAAGGGTGCTGGGACGTGTTCGGGTCCAGGGCTTTGGCATTAGGGGTTCGGGGCTTCCACCTCGGGCTCCATGGGGCTTCTGTGGGTTTAGGATCTTAGACGCTTGTGGTGAACAGTGAGCCAGTCGTGCCCCAGACCCTGTTAGCGCTGAACCCCCACCGCGTCAGCGGCGGCTATTGTTCCAACAACGCTGCCCCAGAACTGTGAAAGGCTGGCTGTTGAACCTCGCAGAGAACACTCGCACGTCGGGCCTTACAAACCCTGAAGCCTCATCGTAAAGCTCAGGCTCTGACCACTGAGACCAAAACCCTCAAGCCCTGGAAGTTCAATCCCTCAGCTCTAAAACCCTAAATCTTTGAAACTCAGGCTTCGGCGATAATCATGGAAGTGGGAGGCTTGGCTGAACGATCTTTCTGCATCCGCTTGCCGAAGCGGTTGCGGTAGAAGGTCCTCGGTGTTCGGAAGGGCAGGAGCCTACAGTTCGAGACTGCTGGAAGGAGGCCACCCTGGTGCACTTCGGCTTTCGGTGAGTTTTTGGGCATCTCGCGTCGAAGCTCCGACTGCCTTCGGGTTTGCGGAGCTGCGACGAAGGGCTTGGGGGATAACTTGCTGCTTTTGAGGTTGCCAGAGCTTGCCGTAGAGGCCATCAAAGGCTCCTTCCCACTCTTGGAGGCCATGTTAGAAGAGTCGTCTTGGACCCCTCTATTCTTATTATTATTAATTATTATTATGATTATGATTATTATTATTATTATTGTTATTACTATTATTATTGCTATTATTATTATGGTTTTTACTATTTGGGGCCCTAAGCCTTGGCCTTCTAATCTCCTGCGCCAAGGCTCTGGATGGTGTGCAGCGCAAACATCTTGTAGTTGCCTTGGTCGGAAGCGTTACACGCGTTTTTTTGTTTATGGTTTAGGATTTAGGGTTTAGGGTTTAGGGTTTGGGGTTTGGGTTCGGGGACAAATAGCGATAAAGGGAAAGGCGCATTGGGCTAACAGTAGGCTTTGAGGTGCTTATAGCTATAGAATTGCTCGCAACGCACCCCTTCGGAACTCTTCAAGCCCAACTCCCAAATCACCGATGCCATATACCGGTCTGAGTAAAAGTATACACGATTTTGGAAAGGGCCTGAACCCCGAACCCGGAACTGCACCACGAAACCCCCATAGCCTGAACCCTTTAAGGCATTCTGAACACCACCCCAGAACTACACCCTCCAATCCTCCGTATATAACCCTCATATAAGGCTTATATAACCCTTATATAGCCCTTATATAACCACTCAAATAGCACCTGTATGAAATCTTAGGGCTGTGATTCAGTGATTCATTCGTTTCAAGTTGCCTGCTCAGCGGGAGCTCCCTTCCCACACCCTCACAGGGTTGTCCCGATACAGGCAGAGTAGACCCTGGTGTGGGTCATGCCATGATATAGTAGCCCTAGCCCCTTCAACAAACACCTCGCCTTTTGATCGAAACCTTCCCTCTAGACCCTACACCCAAAAATCCTACAACCCTGTCATCCCTCAAAACTTCCGACACCCCAAACCCAAACAACGAATCTTACTGGCTGCGCTCCGTCGAGGGACGCTTCTGCGTTAGCTGCTCTAGAAGCTGCCCGCGATGCCACTCCTTTTATGGGGATAACAGGGTCTAGGGTTTAGGGGTTATAGGGTTTAGGGTCAATAGTCACGGGCGTAGGGTTTACGGGTTAGGGTTTTGGGTTTGGTGTTAAGAGTCAAGGGCGTAGGGTTTAGGGGCTATGGGTTAGGGTTTAGGGTTTCTGCCAGAGTTTATTTTACATCCCATTTTAAGGGTTCCTCTCAGGGTTAGTATATATTAGGGTTCTGTAAAGGTTGCTATGAAGGTTGTATGGGATAGGGTTTCTGTGGTTTTGATCTTTTCTGTGTTTGTAGCAGCAGAATAGTACAGAGGAAAAAGCTCCCCCAAAACGGGGTTTCAGGGTCCTCGCAGGGTTCAGGATGTAGGGTGTACTGGCGGAGTTGCAGCAAACTCGTCTGGCACAGCGGATACCTTGAACCTAACTACGCGACGTCAAGCAGCCCCCGTCTCAAGGACGGCCTGTGTGTGCCTTTTTTGAAGATTACGGGTCGCTTTGGGGATTCCAGATTAGGCCCCTCAACCCTAAGCCTAAACTCCAAAGCCTAGAGGGTGAAAAGAAGTGAAGCTTCAAATACTTCTGCAGGCCGATCTATGCATACTCGGCCCCAACAACGACCTACAGAAACCTGGTTCCCCTTGGGCAGGGCATCTACTGTGAATGCTATTTCTGCTACTCATTATAAGAAGTAGCCCGCAAAGCCACAGCACAAGAGGGAACTACTGATAGAAATTCTGCTTGACTTGACCAGATTTACAACATAGGGTTCCGAGCACTGCCGCATGCTATCGGATTCGAGGACGCATACCTGTCCCAACCACAACAGGCTATCTATGACCTCTCTCTCGGTCATAAAACTAAGTAGACATCCAGGAGCTTGCTGCGATGGGCAGAAACCGACCTCTAAAGACTCATAAAAAGATCCTTCTGAAAGGCAACTCTTCCCGTGCTGAGCTGGGACGGGGCTCCTTTCGTCTGGCGACTTTGATCCAAATCTGCGCAGCACCTGGGAACTCGCCTCGCCAGCAATTCGGAGCTGTTCAGGTCGTGATTGAAAACTCTACTGTGCCAAGAAGCGAGCTTGTTGAAGGTTCCGTGATGACGACACAGCCATCAGATGATGATGAGGAGGAGGGAGAGGGGGAGGACGAGGAGGATGACATGGATGATGATGATGATGATGATGATGATGATGATGGTGCTGACGGTGATGATGACGACGACAACGACCAAAGACGTTGATGGGAGAGGGATGGTGACGGCCAACGACAATAAAAACACTCTTGTCGTTTACCCGCGTTGCCAGTATCTCTCTAATGACTCCTAAAACAATTACGATCTCCAGCGCTGGGTACCACAGTAGTAATTATCGGAGACCTGACATGATTCTATCTGTTACGTTACGATTGCCACCACGAGATGCAGATGCACCTTCGCTCAACACCTTGTATTGGGATCTCAAAATAAGGGATTCGTTCAAAATACAACTTCTGCAACCCTCGTAGATACGTCTGCAAAACCCAGTTGGGAAAGGGTTACAAAGAACGATCGAGGACTCCCCATGATGCCTGAGGAGCTTAAGCATGGTTCTAGAGGAACTTACTCAGGTAATATACGGTAATAGCATCACAACTACGAACAGTTTCCTCAGGCTCTTCGTTCTGGTACTTCCTGACTCTCTTCATCCTGCAACCCAATAAACCCTGTGAAGCGCGGGTATAGGATATTTGGCATAGGGACCTGGATTATCAGCAACCAAACTCCGTTACAGCCCCTCCAGATGTGCAGTACATTCTTTCCAGCAAACTCTATATCGTCGTTTTTTTCCAGATGCAGAAGTCAGCCTCAGCCTGCCTTTGTTTGCTGTAGGCTTTGGCCGGCATCACCCTGCAAACGTATTCTAAACCTTAAGCGGCCTTTCAGCTCCAGCAGATCCTTCTTGTGGAGGACAAGCCTCGGCTTGCCAGATGGGCTGTTGGAGCTTTTTCCAATGGCTGCTCTAGGCTTAAAAGGGCACCCTCCCCTCGAAAAAGAAACCCATGAAAACGCACCCTCACCGACATCTCACTCACCACGCCCCTCTAATGGAGGCCCTACTTCTGGAAGGCCAGCTCCGACTCATCAACAGAGACGCAAAAGGGGCTTGTCGGTTTCGGGTCGAAGGCGCAAGGTTCCGGTCGAAAGTATGGGTCTTGGCACTTGGCTTCCTTGCCATTCTGACCAGCAGCGGGCTTAGGTCTGGTGTTGGAGTACGCGTGCTATTGCCACCATGATTCAGGACTTCTCTATACATAGGCTTAGGCACCCAGCGCATGTTCCTGGTTCTGTTACCCGTGGGCCAAGAGACAACTTTGACGAAGTAAGACCAAAAGCCCTGAAACCCCCTCAACCGAGAAAGACACAAATGCAAAGCCAGAGCCCCGAAACCTCGATGTCAACCCAAACCCTGGGTTGACATCCTACGGTCTGGAGGCCCTCCTGCAGAGTCCAAAAAAGTGGAGCCCCAAACCCTCCTCAGGCTGATGGGCACTTCCGCACCCAGCTCCGACTCCACACGGGCGAAGGCGACTCGCGAGGGCAGGTCGGCGAAAGGCTCGTACCTTGGAGGCTTCAGCTTCAGGAACACGCCTTAGGCCCTGGGCCCTAATTATTCGAGGCTTTTTGTTCAAAGCTGTTAAGTTGTTTGAAGGCTTATAAGGCTGTGTTGAAGGGATTCCACCGAAGCCGCCCTTCAAAGCCACGAGAGCTCGCTGCTTTGGGATTTCTGTCAGAAAAAGGACGGCCCTGGCTCCTTCTGAGTTTCTTCGGTTTTTTTTTGAGCGCCTGTTTTCCAATCCGCAGAGTTGGCGTCTCGGAGATCCCCATAGGGAAGGCGGGCTGGACAGGGCGCAAACCCCATCCAGTAAAAACAAACTCACCACTCACGCTCTCGTGATCTCAGCATCGCTTGATCAGGAGCGGCACTCTTTGCAAAGTGCCACGGGTGCCTTGGCCCACTT